ATTAGAAAAGCGATTGGCGTTGTCTTAAATGCACTATAGTTTACAAATGTTTATTTTTTTCGGTGAATCAATAAACAAATTATGAATGAATTGTATAAATGATTATCATCAGTTCCAGTTTACTAATCACTGTGCAGCGAATAACTACAAAATCGAAATGTGATATTAATAAATTTAACGTACGAAAAATTCGAGAATGTCATCTAGCTACCATGGTGTAAGTGACAGGAAAAGATAGTAACTAGGTGTATACAGAACGCACTTTTTTATTTTGTACATATATGTTTAATATTACTATAGTTGTTTAGTGTAGTATATGAACGTATCTCAAAATGCTAATAGAATGAAAATTGCTACGTGAAATGAATTTCTGGTCTTTTGCGAAAAATCAATCTAAAACTCATGATTACATGGACGCATAATTATGATTTTTTTATTAAAAAAACGCTACCTTAAAAGTTTGTGGAATTACATCTGTTGGCCAAGTTTTATTGAAATGGGTTAACGGAAACTGGGTGATATCCAATAAACCGGACCCATCCCCTAATTTGCAACCCTTAGAGGTAGAATATTTCCTTCTAATTTTGATGGGACCAATGTTCAGGTACCCTTTTTCAAACAAAAAAAGTCATCGAAATCAGTTCACAAAAAAGTTGAAATAATCGCGTAACACACAAAAAAATTCAGCCAAATTGACATTAAACTCTTTTTTTGAAGTCGGTTAAAAATACATAAAGAAAACACGCGTGTCGGTAATGTAGAGACCATATATCTAGTCTATTATATCTACTCGCGCTCATGGCAGCGGGCCATAACCCCAAATCTGCACTACAGATTTAAATTCAAATGACGTTTGCCTCACCTGTAGTTTTCAGGCGCATTTATTATTTAAATGTCACATCTGAAATCGACTATAAAATCTATTATGTGAAAGTAAAGTCAAAATATTTCACAACGGTGCAGTTTCTAACGTAGTGGTTTTTATTTAACCTTAGCAAGTGCTAAGATAAAACGAATATTAAAGCTAATTTGTTTAAAACTGATTCGACTATCTCCTAAACATTTAAAATATTGTTTCAACGCAATGATTTATTTATAAAGCCATTCGGAAAATCTATTGGCGCGTTAGTGGTTAAAGAGAAACCGATTTACGATTGCGAGACTTCAGTCTTTATTTAATTATATTGTTTTTAAAAGAGTGAAATATAAATTTGTTCCAAGACCTAAGAGGCTAAAGATTAATGACACTCACTGCACATTCTCTACGTTAGATAATAATGTATTTTATAAGAGTTATTAATGTTAACAACCTATCGATAATAATAAATAACAAAACGAGAAAGTACGAATTAAAGTCAGGTCCGATAACCTTTAAAATATTAAAATAAACATGAGAAATAAACAGGTATAAGAATAATAAACATTATTGCAAATAAAACAAATAAAGAATTTAAAGTCGTATAATATTTTTATTCATAGCTGGCAGTCAAAATAATAACTATCAAATAAAATTATATTTAAATCATCCAAGCTTTGGTAGGTTTACAAAGGACCAGTTGAATTTAATCAAGTTTGGGTTGTATTAATAATCAAACTATTTCGCCAGTCCCTTCTAGACTTAGCCGGATTAGAGGCTATAAAACTATAAGTCCTTTTGACTGTCGAGAAGCAGTAGTTGGCGATTCTAGATAAGGTTTGCTGATTAATGATTGCTCGCAGTTGTGTTAAGCCACTAAAATGGATGGAAATCACGAACACGTGTATGTTTCGATGGATAAATTATTCAGCGTTGTCTGTAATCGATCAAATGAGCCTGATTAAGCAATGTTTTTATTTAATATCTATTAATTTCTGTAAACAATAATGAATGTCCAAGAGCATTACTTTGTAAAAGATCGTCTCTTGAAGTTACGTAATGGAAACCATAAAACTCTATTTCTCGAGTAGGAAACAACAGAAAACAGCCAAATGGGAAGTGCAATAAGCCGAGCGTTTAATTTTACGAGGCCTCAGCGTTTATGGGCCATACCATAGCGATCATAGCCTTCATTTGAATCCTTAAAACGCTACGCTTATTTGCCATCGTTTTTTAACCAATTGAAATAAAAACAAAACTTGAAAATGTAAAAATAACAAGGAAAATAACAAGGAAAATACATTTGAAACAAAATGTACTTTGTTATAGAAAATTACACAAGATTTACGTGATCAACAGAGCTCCAGTACACATACAGTAAAAGTATATAGTAGAAGTAGGTCAGGAAAAACTTTCCATAGCAACAGAAATAGGCGATGAACATAAATTGTGTGATTTCCAGGCAATCTCAATGTAGAGCATGGTTTGCGTGACATCGTCGTCACAAATCGGTTCTTGCCGTTCTTATTGCGATATCATAAAGGTCTTTGGGAAATTGGGTCAATGTCAACATTCTCCAAATTCGATAAATGTATACTTATGTCTATTTCCTGAAGTTCTTGCTTTCATTATTTCCTTTTTACAGCTATTGTGGACAGAAAAGTTATTGTTTATCAAAGAATTGAAGGAATTTATTGGTATTACTTTTACTTTGATGTTTTCTTTTGAAAGCTATGGAGGAGTAATACTAGAAAGTTTTAAATAATAGAAAAAATAAAAATTTTCGAACACATGTTTACACCCATTGAATCTTATGTTCGCATTTTCATTTCTATCGAAACATTTTTCTAGGGCATCTAATGTCGTATTAGAAAACTCCCCAAGGACTGTCTAGCAACCTAATTGATGCGTGCTGTTGCTGTCGTCATAGAGGATAAAGGAAATACTCCAATAGAGCGACGGCAGTCTATGCGATTTAAATGACATAATGACTAGGCAATTTTCTAATAAACCTTCGGAGCTTCGTGTCCAAGGCACGGGCTGCTGCTACCTGTTAGCTACTTCCTTCGGATGGCTAAGGCATATTCTTTGTGCCTACCGTCAGCTGACAATGATACAAACCAAAGAAAGCTATACAATTCTTTTATACAAAATTTTTTCCAGTCTACCAAATGTGGAAATTACAACGAAACATAAAAAGTCATTCATCATAATGCCATTTTTGGGATTTAAAGCAAAATTTTTGGAAAAACAGTACCGTCACTCATAACTAATGCATTTTCATTTTGGTAACGTTCGAGATGTTTGTACCTAGTTTCTTTTTTAAATATCAATTACGCTGGTTTTAGTTAACAATAAAACGGAAACTAAATAAGACATTTAAAATAAACACTTCTAGGAGGGGTTGTAGATTTAGTTTTGCTAATCCATATATTTTAATAATTAAATATCTTTAAAAAGGATTACGTTACATATGATAAGGGCAGTATTGAAAATGGACCTTAAATTCATTGAAAAGTTAGTACTATCAGTAGGTAATTCTTCGATAAAAGATTGATATTCAAGACGATCTAGAAAAATTCGGTTTGCATCTTATCCCTCACAGTCACAATTACGCGGTCTCTTGGGACATATTTCGTTCAATACGAACGCGTTGCAGAAACCTTTAGTATAATTGAGACAATTGTTATTATTTTATTTAATACTTTACATTTCTATCATACATATTTTATATATATATAAACACACACACACACACGATTAGGTAAGCCTAGCTGTTACTGATATAATAGTTACAAGTTACACTTACAATCCTCGTATATGATACATTGGTTCATCCCGTTACTTTTCGAATTCAACTTTTTTTATTCAATGTTTCTGGCGGAATTCAAACCGTGTCTTGAAGAATATGTTTCTTTAAAGTCCTGTTGTGAAATTAATTACAGACGCTTGTAATTACAAAAATTACTTCTGCACACAGCAGTAGGACTTCTGTGCCATACCTCAATCTATATCATATCCATAGCTCTTATGCCACGGTGGTTATTGACAGCCAGAAAATATTCGTTTCAAATAAATTTTAGAAATTAGAATACTATTTGTAATTATATCATGACGAGATAGATGGCAGGTCGACCATTGTTTCGACGTCAGAAAAAGTAAATTTGATATTATATTATGAGAAGGTAGAAGAAAATGTTGTATAGAACACTTTTCCTACTTATGGACCACTTCAATTTTATATCATCCGATTTTTTTTTGCATTCGCACATTGTCCAATTCAATCAATTTACAATTGTAACTGACAGATCGTAAATAGATAAATTGTCATATTTGTAATACAATTTCTCACTTTGTACAAAGAATGCCTTTGTTTCCTGAATGATTATTAAGTACTCATATTATAACTTTAGTTTTTTACGAATAAAAGCTGCGTTAGGTTTTAACCGGTATTGATTTCAGCTATAGTTAAGACAGGTTGAAACGTAACTATCTCTCGCGGAGTTCTGATAATTTTTTCAATCTAGAGAAGTATATAATAAATCTAATTTATTAGTGTGTTCTAAGGAAATAATATATATTGCATTTTGGCAAATTAAAAACCATGATGCTAGTGTCCCGCTCTCCGCAGATCGATACGGACAGTTACGCAACCCAGCCGGCGCCGGCCCGGCACAATCTATAGGCTCATTTCTCTTCTATTCTATATCACTCACCAGCTGCACCTACTTTTATCTTTTGCAATACATATGGTACATGACTTAGTAACTTTAACACATGCACTACGATAAGATGTGAACATAAAGAAGTTTCAACAGAAACATTTCAAACAACACAGAAGTGTCTGTGATATGCGCAGGCGGATGGATCAGGAGTTCTAGAGTGAGAATACAACAAAGGCGATGGTTCGTGCAAATGATTTCCAGCGTGTGACAGCACAGTGACATGCCTGGAGACGGAAAGCACTTCACGGACGAGCACCGGCGGCAGGCGCAGATGCTGCTACGAGGCGCCGCCGGTGTCGGATCGGCACGGCACTCACTTATCGCATGCACTGAACACCTTCACGAAAGCACTGTCGCCGAGTCGGGCTCGCTACTGAAAAGGCTAATGCAAGCACTACAGCAAGCGGCTCCGGACTCACCTCGCCCATTTTCGCTAGTCTCTATGAAAAGGCGGATAAAAGGAGCAAGCCGCCTCTCGGTCTCGCCTCAATCCCTCAACGGAGCGGGGTGGGTCGTCGTTAGTTCTGCAACAACGGGGACCTTTACGGATTCCTCGTTTCAACGTAAAAACTTAAAAATGTGTGCGCGTCCACGTAGTCTCGTCGCACGGCACTGGGGCTATGTCATCGTGGTACGAAACTAAAACCCGGTGTGAGAGAGAGCGCGGGGCGGAGGCGCGTAGGGCGCGACACTCGGCGGCCTGCTTCGGGCGGCGACTGACGGCGGGGCCGGCGCGTATCGAGCCGACGGCGCACTGACGTCACACTGCGTCACGACGCCCGCGCCGCCGCCGCCGTCGCCGCGCGCACCGCGCAGCCGCCGAGCCACCGCCCCGCGCGCACTCGTAACATTTCACAACCGGCTCGTTGACAGCCTCCACTGATCGACAGCAATTGTTTGACGAACGCTCCTCTAATCTTGATCACACTTCGTGTATGAAAGAATCCCACAGAAACGGTAAAACAACATTATTGGCAAAAATTATAGTCAAAATATTTTATTTTGATATTTTTGTGAATGTCTGTCGCGTAAGCCTCGTAACAATGATGGTGTTAATAAAATTTTATGAGGCATTTCTCCGTAGAGCGGGCGGCACGCGTAGGCGGGCGGAAGGACGTCTCGACGACGCGCCCATAGCCCTAACGTAATATTGAGTATTGGCAGACGGGCTTATCTGAAGGGCATATTTTGCGGAAACATATGTACCTGCTGTTTATATAGAAGAGCCATTTTTAGATAATGAAGTTTACGTAATATTCAAAGTTATGGTCCAAGACACGAATTTATGGATATTCGTTACAGTTTTGGTTTAGACCATAAATATATTGAATTGGGGCTCTGAAATTAATTTACCACATTTTACAGCTGTATCTAGAGAAACCATTCTGTTTGTGGGTTTTATGACGACTTATTTGCGATGTTTCATAGCAGCCGCGTTATGATAATTTGACAACATATATACACACGCCAGCACGTCAAGCTACACATTGACGTATCTTGTTCCGTTGCACTGGAGGCGGTTTTCGAACAAAAATGTGTAGTATGATGTGCCGTTGTCCGTACATAAATAGTAGGCTAATTTTATCTGTGCAGGGCTAGGTGTTTGCGATTGGCGTGTCGTGGTAAATCTGCAAGTGGCCTACCGTACCATCGCCGCAGCGACGGCGGACCACACCTATAATTTATTGCCCCTCATGCCGGCTCTAAGGCCCATGTTACCAAAAAGGGGATGTTCGCGCATTATATCGGGACCATTAAATCCTTTGTCCGAAAAATTTCTGCCCGAACAAATCTGTTCCGAGAATTATAGGTTTTAAATCTCTCCCAATTCATACATTTTCCAACGGAAACAGCGAAAAATATGGATATACAATAAACAAGGCATTAGATGTTAATAATTAAATCTACTCTATATTTTGTGTCCTATATTTGTAAAATCAATAAACGTCTTTAAGCTGCTCGTTGCACTATTTCAATAAAATATTCACCCATATCGGCAGTATTATGTTGAAGGAACAAAAATCTCTTTAAATTGAATGAGGGTAGGTTTTTTTTATAGTTCAAATACAAAAAGTTGCACCGTACAGGAAAACAAATTGTCAGACAGTTGAAATTAATCGTATCGGAACGCATACTTTGGTCCTTGAGAGGCTTTCCTCGCCATTTTACAGAATACCTAGTCATTCCATTTACACAAGACAAATGATGTTCGAGAGAGATCTTGGGCCGTTCGTATATTACTAGCAAACTTTTCCGAATAAGAACATTGTTGATGTACAAACACGGATGTAATTTGTGTAACAGGAATTACGGAAGTGGCCAAGTTTAGATGAGAGTACATATATGAAGGTGTACGGCTGGTAGGCGAATGCTTTCACGGAGGGTAACAGGGGGCGCCACCTGTCAGATATTAATTTCCGGTACTTGACGCCACTAACTCCGTAATTCCGTGTCTCAAAGTAAGATTACCAAAGATTAGTGGTTCCGCGAAGATTAGTTCTGAAAATATTACAGCGGCTCGTAAATTCGACTTTATACGCTAGAGTTTAAAATTTACAATAAATATGGCGTGGAATTAATGGCCAGTTAGGAAATAAAACAATGCTGAAAGCAAACAGTAAAGTACTAATCTGCAGTAAAGTTTCCTGCCATAGCGAGTTTCGAGCAAACTGAATTGGACAAGACAAAAAAACTTGCACTGTGGTTTGCACTAGTTAAAAATTTGCATACAACTTTGTTTGCAGTTAAGATTATTGCAACAGTCAGTTTAAAGTTAACTGTAAAATTGCTGTAGCTGAAAGAGCTTTATTCGCAATCTTCTTTGGAGTGTGCCTCCCTCGTTACTATAAAAAGTTGCACATTTTTCAATTCTAGGTCTGCCGGGCCGTGGCTCGGCTCGTATTTTTCATTTTCATTTAACCATCCTCGGACTGAACGGTAAACAAAAGGGTATTTCGCATAATTGTTTCGCTTGAACCATAGTTCCACAATTCCATTTTTTTATTCCACCCAATATATTATGACAAACTAACATTCATTCTTAATAGGAAGACGTTTTTAGTAGCAGTAGAGATTGTGAAAGAGTTCGTCCAGGGAAGTACTGCCACCAACCTATTTCTGCCGCCAAAGAGTAATGTGCACATTATTGTGTTTCGGTTTTAAAGGGTAATGGTGCTAGAAATTACAAGTATACGAGACTTGTCAACTTATGTCTCAGGGTGACAGTTGCAGTGGCAGTGTCCCATAGACCTTTGCGATTTAAAGCTCTGAGTGGCACTGTAACTGTTATGGACCGGCGTGTCTATATGTAATAATCTCAGTACAGAGTATTAAAAAAACCGACTTCAAAAGTACGTGGAATTACATATAATTACAAAGTTTTATTGATGAGAGAGAAAAACGCCTTGACTTGGAGAATAGCAAAATCAACCATTAAAATAAATGCTCCTTAAACAAATTTAGGCGCTATTTATAATGAATCTTCATGCTTGAACAGCCACCTTTAGAGGTGGATAATTTTCTTCAAAACTAAATGGGACTACTATGGAGGTACCCTCTTCCCAACAAAAAAAAGAATCATGAAAATCGGTTCACAAATACCGGAGTTATCGCGTAACATACATGCAAAAACATATAGTCGAATTGAGAACCTCTTCCTTTTTTGAAGTCGGTTAAAGAAGGCGGCTTTGCTGTTATATAAATCGAAACGATATTTTTAACAAGCCATTCAGGCTCATAGCAGGCATTTCAGAAAACAACAACATCAAAACACAGTTATGTTTTTTAAGCCTACGTAATAAATATTTATCAATTTTATCACGAACGAATCAGTTCAGATTCGCGGGTGACATTTATGAGGATCGGATCAATATTTAATGCAATATGTCATCCATCAGAATACTATTAACCACGCATGCAATGTTCTCGGCGACCCCGTTCGCCCGGGCATAGGTCAGTTACGACGTGCTCTACACATTCCCTAATTTCTCACAGCACTGGCACGGAACAGAATATTTTACATGCCTACTATAATTTATATTAAAGAAAAATACCCCTCGATGTTGAATCAGTAAATATTAGGCGTAAATAAAAGCTTAAGTAACTGTAGAAAGTCATCCGAACAAAATGTTGGGAACAAAATCTTGTCAGCAAGGAAACTGACCTCGAAACTTTTTAGCCGTAGCCAGAAAACTTCTATACTCCACGCAGAGGAGTCTCATAGGTACTGCCTGGTGTCAGGGAAGAATCTCAAACTGGAGACCCTTGTATAGAAGATGTCAAATGTTTAAATGACAAAGAGATTTGAGCGTAGATAATTTGAAGGGCGCTTGTGATGTATTATGTAAGGCCGGTATCAAACTCGGGGCAACGGGCCATTCCTTCGCCGTGAAGGACCGGCTGATATGAAAATTCGTCGTGGAGAGGGAGAAGCGGCAAAGGGTGACGCCGGAGGGTGGTTTGCGGAGGTGGAGGCAGCACGGAGGCTCTATTTGGGTCACCCCGGGCGTCATTCTCCGCGATCAATAGCCGAGCCGGCGCGCGCCGTCCGCCCTCTCACTCGCGCCGCCGATTACCTAACGCGTCTCGCACACTGCCCCACCGACATTAATTATTTTATAAATCATCTCTCATATCAGATATTTAGACTAACTTTAATATTGCACTCACAATATAAAATAGTATATTGAAAACAGTTCTGCTTAGAGCGACATGCTCAAATCTCACGTGCAGAACAATACGGGCTATGTCTCGGGGCTAACACCGACCTACCGACCGTCTGGTTGCCCCAGTATGAGTCAGTTCGTCAGCAGTTATGTAACACAGAATAATACAGATAGTAAGTGCATAAATATAACAAACATCTCCAGCTCAGGACTGTTAAAGTCTATTAAAGACAATAGCAAACTACCATCGCATAGTAACAGGAAGAATTTTAAAATGTTGCCGATGTTTTCAGCGTAAGACGAATGAAGCAATAAATTGCTTGTAAAGCAGTATCTGGAACGAGTCATATTTAAAAGTACGCTGAAAGCTCATAAATGAGGCGTTTCTAGTCGACGAGCGAACTGGAGTAGAGGCATGAATATTACGGCTTGTCGACGGCCCACAAATGTTAAAAAGTTAAATAAAACTTTAAGTGTAGCAGATTGGATCCACTTTCACAATATTTAACATAATAAAAAGTAAATGTATGCAATGACCGTAAGGGCAATCAAATCAAATACTCTTAATATTGAAACTTAAACTGATTAGTGACGGCTCAGCCAGTTCGCCCGTTAGTCGGGTTCTGGTACTGAATTTTAACCGAATCACAATTAACAAAGTTATTACATTAAGACGTAGCTGGCAATGAGTCTTCCCTTAATTTGAGACAAGGTTATAGGTGTACCAGAATCTGATGGCACTTAGACAATTTTAAATTTATAGTGGGCAACATCAGTATAATAGGAAAAAATGTACTAGATACATTGACTTACAATTATATGGACGTCGGGTCCGCGCTAAAAAGTGTCCGAACTTATAGGGCGTTAAAATCGTATACAGAGCGCCAAGCTCCGCTTTAGTCTTCATTTGTTCGACTGACAGCGCGATACTGCGATGACATTACAATTTAAATTTCGAATAAGTTGACTTGGGACA